AAGGATGGAGAGAGGGGGAGAAAATAAGATGGGGGAAAAAAATAAAATAAAAAATCTTGTGGGACAAGATAAAGGCAGTTTAATAAAGCAAAAGCAAAGGCTTAGTGCAAAAGCCAGGAAAACAAAATATTTATTCTCTAGTTCCCATCAGCAGGCGCTGCCCAGCCCCTTCCCGGGAAGCAGGGCTACACGCAGCGCCTGCTCCAGAGGACAAACGTCATAAATAGCTAATTTCATCCCCCTTTTTCGTCCTTCCTCACTGCTTTTATCACCGAGCAGGCGTCACACGGCCTGGAATCTCCCTTTGGCCGGTCTGGGTCACCTGTCCTGGCCGTGTCCCCTCCCAAGATGTTGCCCACCCCCAGCTGGGGAGAGCCTTAATGCTGTGGAGCGCTGCCCAGCCACACACCGCTGTGCCACCAGCGCCTCCCCAGCCACCAGTGCACAGCACAGCACTCCAAAAATAGCTTAATTCAGCGAAAATCAACCTTCAGATTGGTCAAATTACATTCAAGAATGTTGCTACATCTCCTGACCCTTCCTAAGGAAGAGAGGAGAAAAGTCTTATAGCAAAAATTAATTTCATTCCAACTACTCCAAAATAATAACAATACAAAAGCTATTCTGAACATACATTTTAGATTAGAGCATACCAAATTTCCATGCAAAATATGAATGTAAGAAAACAAAACCAAAAGCAAGCCTCTTTTTTTTTTTTTTTTTTTTTCAGGTAAAGCAAACCAGAGACATCCCAGCTGCTCAGCACTGTGAGCGAGACTTACAAATTCTGTTCTTTTCAGCAGTAAGTCAGATAACCGGGTATTGTTGTTATCTGTGTATATTTTCCCTTCCTCCAGAATTTGTATAAATTATTTGCCGTAGCAACTCCCAGTGATAATAAGTTGTACAGTTTAATTACATGTTGCATAAAATTATTCCCATTTGTCAGTTTTCATGTTCCCACGTAAGAAATTCAGTTCGAACAAGTCATACCTTCTAGAAATGGGATTTTATTTTTTTTTCCCTTTTATTAATTACCTACCTGGTTATTGGTTAAAAACCACTGCAGGTACGCTGACAGGTCTGGGTAGCGGTGCCAGGGCTGGCTGAAGCCGTGTGCTCTGCAGGGCCCCCGTGCAGCCACCCCAGCTGGGGTCCACAAGGCTGGCGCACGGCAGCCCTTCGAGGATTTGCAGAGACAAGGATGAACCCTTCATAACAAACTTCGACGTTTTGCAACTTCTGGCCTCAGTGGCGCACAGATCTCCAGCTGGAGCACAGCAGGGAACAGGATGGGGAACCCTCTGAAGGCAAAACCTCTGGCTGATGCTGGGCGATGGATGAAAAGGCAACGAAATGCACTCGTTGGACATGGAGTATTTTAGTGAAACACCGTGGGAAACACCTACCAGAGAGATGAGCAGTACGAGACCTGCTCGTGACCCAACCACCGTTTCCCACCCACACCAGGGGCGTTGTCGTTGCTTTCATTCTGCAGCCCAGACGTTTTATGTCCCACTACCCCGAGTCCCGGTGGGGAGCAGAGCTGTAACCCCCACCCGAGCCCTGTACCATGGCATCGCATCGGTGGGCAGATCAATCTTTACCTGCTCAGCAGCACTAGAACCCGGGATGACCAGAAAACAGCTTCTTGTGGAGAATGCAAGAAGATATCCGAGGTTTACATTCAACGGATAAAACTATTTGCTCAGAGGCAGCAGTTTTGTGGGTTTTGTCGCAATGTAAGAATAACAGACTATGAGTATGAGCACACTAATCCTTTTCATGCTGTTGCTGCTCCTTGGTCTCTGTCTAAGCCACTAAAGCAGAAAAACAAACAAACTTGACTTTGGCAGTGGTGGGGACTCAGCTGCCACCGTTTCTTCCTTCTTGATAGAGCTTCATCTACTTGAGAAATCTCTGAAGCAGCTACTACAGGGAGGAGGTACCTCTGTGTCCCTTAAGCACGTGAGGAGAGGAGGAGTAAGACTCCCCCCATCCAGCATCTCCCTTGGGATGAAAGAATTGCTGGCATTCACTCGCCTCTCCGAGCAGCCACGCAGTCCCATGGATGTCATCCAAGCAGGTTCCTACCCATAAAGCATCACAAGAAGTGCAAGTGCATTTTTCAGGCACTCTGCTGCCTTTTGCATCACAGGAAAGCTGGAAGTGTACTGCATTGAGGAATCTTCCTTGTCTCCGAGGCCCCGGCAGCACTCATGGCACATCTTAGATCACTTCTGCAAAGATCAGGAGAGCCTTGACTGCCTGTTAATATTTTTAGAAGCCAGCACAGCTGATGCTGGCGGTGCAGTGCTGTTATGAGTCAACATATTAGCAAAACCAACCTGACAATCAATTTGGCTTTTCCTTTGCTGTTTACACTGATGTGTCAGAGACAGGTACACAAGGAATTAGACAAAAAGTATGTTTTAATTTACCATGCTGTCAGACAATGCCTTTGCCTTCCCCTTCCTGCTGGCAGCAGGGCTCTGCTGGGACTCTCCTCCCAACCAGGGGAGGGCTCCTGCGGCACCCCAAAGCAGAGCTACTGGGGACAGCCTCTGCTGGGGCTGCACCAGCCCCTGATCACCCTCGAGCAGCCCCCGGGGGTTCATACCTCTGTGTCTAATACAGCCAGAACTTCCACGGCGCCTCTCCAGTCATTTACTGAAGTATATTTTTAGCTGTCCTTAACAATACAACTCTTTCTCTTTGCCACCTTGACTCGCCTCAAATGCTGCGGGAGATGCTGCTGCTCCCCAAAAAGCTGGATGTCTCGATCCCCAGGCACAGGCAGAACACAAGTCCCTCCCCAGACAGGAGCTGATCAGTTTGGGTAAGATTTGTTCCCAGCCCCTGAGCAGAGAGGAGGTCAAAGGTGGATCAACAGCTCGAGTCCCTTCCTAGTTGTCCTCGGCTTCGAGCCAGGGGGAGGCGACCTCCTGGGGCACCAGTTCACCCATTTCAGGGACCTCACGGCTTCCCAGTGCACCTGTTTTCTGGAAGACTTAAAATGTTCCTTCCCAGTTCAGATTATACAGGTTCTTATTGTGAATATTTACCTTAATAGGCACTTTAAGTTCTTCCCCTTTTTATATAAAACAAAAACTTTAAGGGGAGAAAAAACACCAAAACTATTCATGCTCCTGATTTTTTCCCTCCAACACCAGACCTTGCAGTTCTGAAATGAACCTCATGATTAATAATTCTCTAGTAACTAATGACTACATAGTTCTCACGGTGAGTTGCTCTCCAAGATCCAGATCACAGGCTCTGAGGCTCCCTCTATTTCACACTAGAAAAACAGACAACGTTCAGCCACAAAAATGAGGGAGAGCCATCAGAGATACTAAAACCCATCTATTTCCAGCCTACAGTGCCCCGTGGGTCACGTCTGGAACAACAGAAGCCTCTTATCATGCCCAAGCTTTGCCAAGCATGTCGAGTATGTAGATAAAACGGGATGGAGAGGCCGTTAGTACCTTCCACCCGTGAGACGCTAAGGGGGAGTCTCAGACACGGCTTCTCGCTGGGTAAGAGACAGGAGCCCACCCTTCCTGCTCAGCAGCGATGGCCCATGCGGCTGCAGACGGGGGGTGCTGGAAGGGAGACCCCTCCCCCAGAGGCACCCGCGCAGCGACGGGCGAGCAGAGGAAGGTGCTGAAGAAAGGGTAGGAGCCGGTTAATTGAATGCGGTGTTATTCTTGAAGTGTTCTTGTTCCACCTAAGAGCTCTCCTGGTTCCTGATTCACCACCATGCTTAAACTCTAATGACACTGGTTGCTTTGAGACTTCAAGTAAGGAAATTTTAATAAAAGCTTGACTTGATGTTATTCCACTACAAGCTCTGCACTGAATTAAACATAAGGCTGAGGAGATATGTTGACAGTACATCAGCATGAAGTCCTGCTGGCCGCCGCTGAATATGGGTAAATAGTTTTATGTCATTTTTTTTAAGGCTCATTTCCAGCTTTCAATCAGTCTCGCATGTAACATGGCTGAAGTGCTGTGCAAGACACCTTATCGTGGCCAGTTGTCTGAAATGTGGGGCTCTGGCTAATTTTGAAAAATGAATCACTTGTCTTTCCCATTTTCATCATTACAGTGTTAGCTTATGTTGAAATACAGGCATCCAGCCAGAGAATGCTGTGCCTAACACACCCAGAATACCACAGAACAGAGCTGTATGATTAAAAAAAAAAATAGCTAAATAATTGTGTGGGCTATTATTGATGTGCGGCTGAGCTGTAACTTTCTTCAAGTGTTCATGTCAAATACCGCAGCTTTATTCTTTGATAAAATAACATGTTTTTCCAGACAAAACACATGCCACAGGGTGGGTGTACTTGGAAGGAAGCGTGTGAAGGGTGCAATGCGGGGAGCTATCGCCTCGGACACAACGCCCAGGAGGGCAGCAGTCCTGCGGGCTCGCGTGCGGCAGCTGCCCATAAACCTCTGAGCAAAAGCGAGCGTGCGCCTCGGACACCCCCACGGGTGTGCACAGAGCAGCCCGCGCCCTCGGTGGAAAACCCCGCAGAGCTGCTCTCACCCACGTACCAAAACCCACAAAATTCAACCTGAGCAAGGCCAAAACAGGGGCAGTGAACACCCTGTTAATAACGGGGCAGCACGGGAAGGACGACAGAACAAAGACACGGTAAGGTGGGGTTGATCAGCCTGGGGAACGTATTACATCTCACATTTGTCCACAGCAGCGCGAGACGGCATTTGGCTCAGGTAGTGTCGCCACTACAAAAGTCCAGTTAATTTATTAAACGTATTGATTTGCGCAGTTGATAAATCTCTCTGACCAGCAGCACGTGCTGTTGTAACCCGGCACGTAGGGAACAGGATCTCACCACAGGGGGACAGCCACCCGGCCAACGGGGTGATATCCCTGCTTAACGCAAGACAGCAGGAAGTTTGTTTTGATTTGGCCCAATGTTACGACTTAAACACAAGGAACCAGCATCAAACTCGGGGCTGTATACACTTACCTCACCCGGATGCATGGGATGGCCACGGGGTGCTGGGGGCCGGCTCCAGCAAGAGCATCTGAGGAGCAGCACGCAACACCCACGAGTGGCGGGCAGCGTTCAACTGCCATTTGCTGCTGCTACGGGAACAGCTGGACTTGGGAGAGAGGAAGGGGTCACCTCGTAGCGGTAAAAGCAGCTCCTGCAGCTCCCTAATCCCACGCAGAGCCTGGGAAGGAGGCCAGCACGGCGCAGGGCAGCAGCATCCGTGTTTGGCGCCCGGGGGCTGCAGATGCCTGGTGGAACGTACCGGAAAAGGTAGAGCGGTCCCTGGAGAAGGTCTCACCCGAAGACATCCACCAGACCGTACGGAACGTGAATGGCTGTTCCCACTGCACTGACAGAAGAACAAAAATCCATTCTGAAGGGTCCGTTAATTAATAATCGCAGCGCAGGCTGGAGGCAGTGCAGCGTATTAACTTGTTAAGGTGAAAGCAGGGAAAGAAAGGTGCTGACAGCTATTACTGAATTAGGAAAAAACCAACCCGCAACATGAAGGTTTATTAACATTTTCCATTAGATCTAAAAGGTTCTCTCCTCTCAAGAATTAGAATAAAATTGATTTGAGGGGACAGCTTTACAAAATTAAAAGTTAGCTTTTAAAAAGTTTATACAGTAGCATTTTTCTGGAGATAAATATCAGCTTGACACTTTCCTTTGCCGGCAATTCCCCCCAGAAAGGATCGTTCTGGCAATGGCTTATCATTCTGGGCAGGATTCCCAAACTATTTTACATCAGTCAGTAAAACGCCCGTGTCACGGCACTTACCGTGGTGTAAAGCTAAACAGCATCTTCCCAGTTCCCCGAGTCATGAGGAACCGTGCAGCTGGAGCCTCATCCCGCCGGCACCCCGCTCCGCAGGGAGACAGACGGCACCTCTCAGCCATCTGGCTCTGGGATTTCCCACGTGCAGCCCCAAATCCATAGGAAGGACCATTTTCATCAGATGTTAACACTCAGACAAACGTCTCCTTCACAGCAGCCCTCACCAAGCAGCGCTCTTCAGTGGAAAGACCAGAATGGGTGTTGCTGGACCCGAAACCATCAGCCTGCATCTTCTCAGGAGGCTTCATTGTCCCACTCCTCCGCTGGGACCGCAGGAGCCCACAGCTCCAGGGACTCCTGGGCAACCTCCTCCGCCTACAAAAGCGGCCCCTGGTCAACAGAGCAGGAGTCGGAGGCGCCAGCCTGGTGGCCTTCTCCGAGATGGCGAGGGGACAGCTGGCACGGGAATGGCGAGAGCCACTCCGCGCTCTCACACAGCCAGGTTCCCGGGATGTGTTTTACCTAGCAGGGACGTTCTTACGAAACTAATTAGAATTTCAGGTTTCTGAAAAGCTGCGAGTTTTGTTTAGACTTTTCAGAGGGATGACAGGAGTGTGGCACACGACGGTGTGGCACCTTTAATGCCACCCAAAGCAACGCTTTCCTTTGGACTCTGTGTCTTGAGAGCCTGTCTTCAGTAGGCTGATTTATTTATTTCATTTCAGAGGTGATAAATTGCAGTATATTAAGATAATGGTGTAATACTTGTTACTATTAAAATGTGTATAACCAAAATTTAAATGTAATTCAATTTTAAGTAGAAAATAATGATTGCTGTTGATATGCCTCAGGACAGCTTATTGCTCATCCACCATCAACATTTTATTAAACAGGAATTGAACTAAAAAAAAAAAAGAAAGGTTCAATAAAAGTATTTTAGGTAAATGCTATGTTAATGGTCAACCACAGTATAAGATATGTTGAAGCCTTTTTAAAAAAAAAAAATTGCATGAGTTTATCTTTAGCTGCTCAAAACTCTCTGTCCAAATGATTTGCTCATTTTAAAGAACATTTCCTGTAAAAGTGCTTATTGAAATGTATTGAAACATTTTAATTCAATTTAGCTAATCTAGAAACTCTCTGCTCAAATTACCAGCATGGAAGGAGCCTCAGCTGCGGCCTCCAGCGGCCGCCCACGTGCCGGATGGGCTCCCAGGCTGTTTCCCCCGATGCTCCTTGACCTCAGACTGCAAAAATTGCCCCAGGGGACTCAGAGATGCCTCCTGGAAGCCGTACTCCATGAAGTCAGAACATCAGTAGAGAGAAAGAAGGAAGTAAAGAACCTGAAATATATTTATATCAAAGATTCATCTTGTTAACATTTTAAACATTTTTTTTTCTGAATTATTCAATACACATGCATACAGATGGAATATGTTGATATCGATAATAGCCCAATAGAAGTCGGAAATAAGAACTGTATGTTTTGCTCTGCTGTTAGTATTGATTGTCTTTATAACACCTATTCTTCACTGAATAACGTACTCACTTACCACGTGCATGATGAGAGGATTCGCGTGGAATGGCTGCAAGGGCCAAAACACACCGCTCTGACCTGTAATTCAAAATGTATTTACTAACCGGAGCATCACAGTAGGACAGCAATGTCTTGGCTACCATTTCTGTTCTGTGATAGCCACACAGGTTACGCTCCCCTGGTCCAGCCCAGAGAAGCATCACCTGCACCCAGGGAGCAGGACACGCACTCCCACCTTTTATCAGACCCAGCTCATTGTCCTGCTTCTACAGGGAGCAGACCCACCCCAGGCTCAGCCACTCCTGAAATAAATAAATAAAAAATACTTCTAAAATTCCTAACCCTCACGAACATACTTCACTCATAAATATATTTAACACCGAGCTTCAGGATGCAGAGATGTCTGGCATCTACTTCCCTGCGATCATGTACATCATTTCCTAATAGGCTCCAGCCACAGCCTTTCATCTGCGCCCCCGCAGGGCCCTGCTCACCCCTCCGCTGAGCTGAAGCGCTTCTACAGCCAGTGGCAGCAGCCAGCCCTTGAAACAGAGAGGAGGAAGTAAATATATTATTTAGCCGCACAAACAAGTATTTTTTTTCCTAGGAGAAAAATGTGTAAAATCTGAATAGAGAAAAACTGTTTTAAAAGAATATAAATCAGTGTCCTCACTGGATTCCTTCATTAGGTGTAATTCCCTGGTTTAGCAGCATTGCATCCCTCGAGTTCTGGGATGGATGGCAAAGTGGTTTTGCTATCCGGAGTCACTGTTTCCCTCCTCAGTCCCATGTTATGTACGACAGAGGCAAAAGCCTCTTATTTCGTGTGGTTGCCATACCCACAGCCTGTCTCCAGATTCCCAGCCAAGCCTGCCCGAAAAGCAGCATTTCTGAGATCTTAAGGCACTACACTTAGAGCAGAAACCATTCAAGTGGTTATTTCAAGTGGGCTGAATGTGATGGAAGGACATAGAAATCATTCTGCAGGCTCTGAAAGGCTTTATATCCCGATTTTCTTCCTTAACAGCCACTAAAGGCCTAAAGAGTGAAGAATAAAATGACTAAGAAGTGAAGTGGCATAAAAAAAAAAAAATTAACAAGCCAGTGTAGTGATATTTTCAATTTTTTTTTTTTTTTTTTAAGAGATAAAGGACAGGATTTCCTACTCCACATGATGACTGCAGTCACCAGGGTTGCAGGCTGCCTCCAAAGGACCAGTGCTTTGCCAGGGCTTGCAACAGAAGCCAAAGATGCCGTGAGCTGACCACGCTCACAGCACCATCCTGCACGGCTCCGCACCCCTTCCCAGCTCCCCGGGCAGGAGAGCCCACGTGCGCCACTGGTGACCCATTAAGAAGAACCACCCGTGCACGCTGAGCAGTGTGTTGGGTTCCCCGGTGTGTCACAGCGTGCCTCAGGCCACCCAGGTGACCCAGCTCCCCGCCAGCACTACCCGCGCTGTGCAGGTGCTACTGTGGGGATCCCCAGCAGCGCACCAAGGAAAGGCATGGGGGGGGCTGAAAGCAAGTCAGAAGGAAAGACAGATGCTCTAAATAACAGAGTAGCTCAGAAAGTGAAGTGAACTCACAGGAAAACAAGGAGAAAAAAAAAATAATAAAACTTCATCCAGGTACCGAGGGGAAAAACACTCACTGCTTTTCAGACTGTTCTGCATAACTTGAACTTCAGATCCCACTTTGTTGCCCTGCAAGTCTTATCCACATTTTCCTTCTGACTCCATTCCTAACGGCCCATCGAGACAAGACACCTGCCTGCAACCGCAGGTGCTTTCAGAGAGCAGCTAAGAGATCACAGGGGCCACAGCGGAGTGTCACAGGGTGTGGAGAACTGCTCCTCCTGTAACCGGAGCTGGGAAGTCTAGGGTGGCTCTTGCTCGAGTGCCTTCACACTGTGTTTGGTTTGGCTGGTTAGAGCACAAGCAGCTGATATGCAAAAGATATGAAGGCACTGTCAAACAAAAAAACAAATTGTGTTTCCAATTTAACAAGCTAAGATGCTCAAGAGAAAGGTAAAGGACTGTCAACTAAGATTTACAAACACAAAAATGGAGGCGGCAGCTCTCAAAAGCCTGAAACCAGTTGTGAGGTGAGCAGCATGGATTTTATGCAGCGTTCACCTCCCTCCAAAGCCTCGCACCTCTCGTGCATTTAGATTCAAACCAAGTTCTGTGTCCGGGATGCAAAACAGGGTGGGAAGTCCCCAAGTGAAGCCCATTAGTAAATTAATGTTTGGTATCTCAAGTGATTCATAAGCTTCCCGCCAGTAGGTAAGAGGGACTCGGTGATTAAAATGACTGCTAATACCCACATAAATAAAGAGCCTGTTCTGCACTGAGCAAACACGCTTGTCTCACTAAGGCGTGACACCATTAGCCAAGAAGGCTCGAGGACAGAGCAGAGTCCCACCCGGCTCATTCATTTCAGCTCAGTCAATAATTAGTCACTGCGGTCTCTTGGTCCATATATTAACGGGGAAAAGGCAGAGGTGCACATTAGAGCAGAGGCCAATAAAAACATTTAACAACAATTTAATTAATGCATTTTTGTAACGATTTAAGTGAGTTCCTCATCGTTCACCCCCTATAACGAGCAGGCAACATGTCCTGAGGATTCCTTCTGCTCCTCACAGCTCAGCAGCAGGTCATGCTCGTGACGGCGAGCACAAAGGTGACTTTGTGGTTTGGTGACATTCACGCTGCAGGTCACATCATTGCTCAGACACTTCCCCCCCCCCCTTCACCTGCAAATATTTACGTGATGGGCTTTCAGTGGCCTGCACACGCGTCCGCTTGCACCCTGATAACGGCTGCTTGGGTGCGCTGCAGTTCAGCCAGCTCCTCCCAGAGAGACACATCCACACAGCCCCCGCCCTCCTACCAAGAACAACGCTATAAACCGAGCATAATCCTTCCCAATTCCCTTCTCCTGGTGACGTGCTCTTTTGGGGAATATATAACATATAACAACCGCTGAAAATTGAGCGGTACTTACCCTGTCCTGGCACTCAAGATTTAAGCCCCCGAAGAACTCCAGATGAAGAATCACAACTCAGCGCAAGAGCCAACTTTACTGCAGGCTGATTGCGCTTCCCGAGTCCCCTTTTCCTCCACTCTTTGGGGGGCAAAACCAAAAGCTCTCACTAGCTGTGCAAACAGAGCAAGAAGAGCTGCAGCGGCTCAGGACCCCTGGATCTCAGACTATGACCTCAGCATTTGCAGCTCCTCTCCTGAGGGAGCCTGAAAATCATTACATACAGATGGAGTTTGCATTTCAGTTACAGAAACCCAAGGTGGCAGATCGTTACCATCGCCAACCCGTTCAGCCTCCAATAGGCCAGGTACGGCTGTAGGTGTAAGCTGGCCATAAATTCTGAAGAAACGCAAAAACTGTTTTAGTTTAATCCAGGAACGGAAACAACAGTACTGGAAAAAATCTGGAATAGCTGAAGGAGGCAATTCTTTACCGGAACCTTGTTTTTTTTCAAAATCAGAGATACGGGGAATCGTTTAATACCTAGAAGGTATTTCTGTAGATATATTTGATATAAATTCTGCACTTATGAGTAATGAAGTACTCAGTGTCACATCTGAGCTGCACTCTGTACAGAGGTGTCAGGTTTAATTTTGCCTGTTGGCAATCCTGAAATGTGAACAACTTAGGAAGTGAAAACAGCAAAGTTCTGTTGATCTGTAAACAAAACAAAAAACAAAAAAGTTACCTTATAAAAATCAGGGAGGGGGTAAATATGACTGAAATTCTGATAGAGAAAACACACCCATTTAGAGAAAAACTTGGTAAATTAGGTGTTGTTTCCATATAATTTTGTCATAATATAACAGATACAGCATAATTCGAAGCACCAGTTGCAACTGCACTCACGCCATATGGATGTGTGGTACACAAACTGCAGCTGTTTAATACTCAGAATTCTGAAACTGGGAGCATCTACCTTGAAAT